TGAATAAGCACACCCCAAATTGGAGAGGAAATGCAGAACTCTATGCAAAGATCTGATCATGCCTGCAAAGCATTTAGTGCCATGCCAAGGAAGCCCACAGTAAACACTGAGCCAGGGGGTGGCTCTCATTATTATTTTGTTAGAAAGCTTAATTCCATTAATACTGAGAGAGAACACACTCAGGTTGGAGGGGAGTGATTTCCGAGTCCGATTATAAAGGACTGGGAAGTCAGGTTGGAGCAGAGAAAACATGGAGCCCGTTCCCACCAAACAGAGCAGCTTAAGCCACAACACAATTGTGGAAGTGGGTGAAATTCGTGAAAGGGCAGCTGGTCTGGCTAACCTCGAAGATTCCATCAAGGAGAGGTTAAAATGAGAGGTTAGCAGTCGCTTTCATTGGTGAGCATTCTCTTTAGGGAGTAGGCAGAAGAAGAGTTTAGATTTAATAGGGTCAAAATGAAGAAGCTACCATTGGTCCTTTAAGCAGGCCCGCCACATAATTTTCAGGGCCCAGTACAAAACAAAACTTTGGGGTCCCTTGTTCAAAAATTATTAAGAATTTCAAGACCATGACAAGAGATCATTAAATCGAACGCGGAACCCTTCTGAGCCTGGAGCCCTGCATGAATGCACTGGTCATGAAACCAGCCCTATCGTTCAGGGTGTGATGGCGAAAATACTTCCCAAAGACTATGATTCTCACATCTGCTCGTGAGATGCATTGGAAAAGAAACATTTTTGAGGTGGAGATACCCACAAGGTGACTCTTCCCTGTAATTTGCCAAGAGCGATTGCAGAGAAAACTTTGGGAGAAATTGACAACAAAAAAGATGTAAGGCATAAAGGACAAAGAGAGTTTGAAATCACCTCAAGTTAAGCAGGAGGATTAGAACAAGGGAAAATCCGGGGGGGGGGGGGCGCTTTTAACTGACCAACTTATTTCATTAGCCAATGGTGTTATTCCCTCGGTAAAATGTGCTGAGTGATGGCCCAGCACTCTGCGTGCTAGCACTAGATGGACGCTCCAGAAGGGCAAATGTTTTTGTCAGTTTTGTTCATTCCTATATTCCCAGGTGCCTGACGTAATAGTCAGTGTCTGGCATAGAGATGTCACTAAACAGATATTGAATGATTGAGTGAATGAATGAATGAAATTGTGTTAGTAGATTCCTCTCTAAGACACTCTACTATAAATTAAACTCCTTTTTTTTTTAAATTTCAGACAGAGAGAGAAAGAGATTGCAAGTTGGGGAAAGAGACAGAGAGAGAGAGAGAGAGAGAGAGAGAGAGAGAGAGAGAGAATCTTAAGCAGACTGATGCGGGGCTCAATCCCATGACCTTGTGATCATGACCCGAGCCAAAACCAAGAGTCAGATCCTCAACTGACTGAGCCACCCAAGCACCCCTCAACTGAACTCCTTTATCCCAAAACTGTTAATGCCTTTTGTATTTGTTGCAATCGTGTGATTTAATCAATTATGGAAAGCAATGAAGTGTGTGTGTGAAGAGAGTTGTGTTTACAAAAACAAAGTTTTCGAATCATTAGAAAGGCTTGGTGAAGGCTGGCTGTTGGAGGAAATTGTATCAATTAGTTGCGGGAAACACAGCCATGAAAGAACAGGGGGAAATAAATAAAATTCTAGAATTCTGGACTCAGGTTCTTTGCAAGTGGCTCTACATTCTCACTCCACTTTAAACAGATAAAAACTGGAAACTATGGCCTATTAGAGATGCATTTAATGCAAGAGAGACCATGCAGATGTCATGCATCAGACTCATGCTCAAAGAAGAGGCCTCAGCCCTACATCAGAATAGAGGTGAGACTGTGCTGTGTATGCCATGTGTTCATATGATGCATTTATCATTTTTTTTTTTGTAATTTCTAGTTTAACTGAGTTTCTTTGTTAGTTATTGTTACCATTTATTGAGTGCATACTATGTGCTGGGCATAGTAATACCTGCTCTGCTCACATTATCATTGATTTGGAGGCCGACCCTGCCAGGTGGTATCTATCCTTGATCCCATTTTCTAGATAATGAATCTTACACTCAGTGGCTTAGTCAAGTTTTTACTTGCCTCAAGGCTACACAGAAAGTGACAGAGCTGGAGATAAACCCAGGATCCTCTGGCTCCAAATCCCGGCATCTTTCTCCCATATCACAATTAAGTGATTTGCTCAGAATAACTGAGGTCTTCCTCCTATAAACCGAATTTACTTTCCATTACATCAAGTTAACTGAACATTTTGATGAGCTGACCAACCACTGGGTCTGATTGCATCAGATAAGAATAAACAAAAGTAAAATTGAATAAATAAATGAATACGTAAGCAAACTGACTTAAGGGAAATAAACCAAAATGTCAGCATAGTATGCCAATGGCCTAATTATAGATTATAATTATGTGTTATATAATTATCATTATAGATAATAGATTTATATTTATAATTTAATTTCTTTATTATTTTACATTTATATTTAACATATATTTTAATTTCTACTGACCCAATTATTTGCATTCCCTATCCTGGGAAGTCTCTTCTTGACATCAAGTTACCTAGGAGGTGAATTTTCATCAGAATGCTGATTGGTAAGCACAGAGTAAAAATTGCTTTGGGAGGATATTTTATGCAAACTCTAGAAAACCCTGATGAAATATCCTTACTCCATAACCAAATACACTGCTCTGATGACCAGATAATGACAATCCCAAATTCAGTACACTTCTACATCAAGAGTATGAGTTCCTTTGGCCGGGAAAAAGTGATAAGGAACCAAATTGATGAGCTAGATGTGGCCCCCAAAGGGAGAATGGCCCCCAGAGATGTCCCAGCACTGCTCTCTGGAGCCTGTCGAGGGTGTTTCCTAACATGGCAAAAGGGACTTCACAGAGGTAATTAAGGTCATGGACAGGGACTATACAGGTGAGCCCAATCTAATCGTATAAACCCTTAGAAGCAGGGAATTGTATTTTTCTGTCACTCCTGTGAAGATTTTCTACATCTTCATTGCACACTTATTTCTCATGTAATTAGGTAAAGTGTTGTGCATTCAGATGAGAAGAGAAAAGGGGATATAGAAAACATCTCACCAAACTAAAGGACCTGAGGATGAGCAGGCTGGTTGGAGGGAAGCACAGGAGATATCAGAACTTTCACTTGCCAGCACTGTGTAGGCTGCAAGTGACAGAAACCAGCTTGGGTCACGTGCCCATCCCTGGACCCAGGATAGTTTCTAGAGAGTGGTGCACCAATTTCGGGTAGAGGAGCCACCACATTCATTTGGAGTGTGGGAGAAACAAATACCCAAAGAAGAGAAGGGCCGTTCACAGAAGAAAGAATCAAGAAGCGCTTACTATCCAACCATGTCCCCAACCCTAACAGAAAAAGAGGTAAGGTCAGGTGCATGGGGGGAGGATCACAATGAATGGTAGGAAGAAGAGTAAAGGTCATGATTAGTTCAGGGGCACCTGGGTGGCTCAGTTAGTTAAGCGTCCGACTGCAGCTCGGGTCATGATCTCACGGTTCATGAGTTCAAGCCCCGCCTCGGGCTCTGTGCTGACAGCTCAGAGCCTGGAGCCTGCTTCGGATTCTGTGTCCCCGTCTCTCTCTGCCCCTCCCCTGCTCGCGCTCTGTCTCTCTCTACCTCTCTCAAAAATAAATAAACATTTTTTTTAAAAAAGGGGTCATGTTTAGTTCAGTTTAAACACATTCAAGTCTGCGTGTCAGAAATTGTCTCCAGCGTGGATGCTCTAAAGGCAAATCAAGAAGTAATGAGATTTGCAAGTCATCTGCTCTGACACGGTAAAACGAGACAGTTTTGTTACGACCCTTTCTATACCAAGGGACAAAAATCCACCTCCGATTACTTTAAGCCAAGCGACTGAGAAAGTTGGCACAGTGCAGAGATTGCACTGGACCTAGTGGTGTGTGCTTTGTTCCATCATCTCTGTCCTACTCGGTCTGCGCTGACTTCACTCCCAGATACGCCTTCCTCACATGGGGGACCAGAGGAAACCAGCAATCTGAGAATCTATCCCACCTAGTTAGCGACACCAGCACAGAGCAGCGCCTTCACCTCAGTCCCAGAGAAGGTCCTGGTGCTCTCTGGGCTACCTTTTGGTCACATCTGGAGCCAATCTCTATGGCAAGATAGGAAGCAATCCGTGGATGGGCCAGCCCTGTTTCAGATGTCCAAGCCTGGAGCCAACAGGAAGGGCCAGCAGAAGTCTGTCAACTGAAAGTGACAGATGCGCACGAAAAGTGCGCCCCGAGAAAAGTCCTTCTCTTTCCCCTCTTTCTTTTGACTTCACCCTGGTTTCCACCCAGTATGTGGACTGAGGTGACCTATACCTTCTTTTTTCTTAAACTTATTTATTTATTTTGAGGGGGAGGGGCAGAGAGAGAGAGAGAGAGAGAGGGAATCCCAAGCAGACTCCACACTCAGCGCAGAGCCTAATACAGGGCTCGACCTCACAACCGTGAGATCATGACCTGATCCGAAGTCGAGAGTCAGACACTCAACTGACTGAGCCACCCAGGCTCCCTGAGGTGGCCTGTATCTTCTGCTGGGCACTCTGTGACTGCTCACTTACTTGCCCAAATTAGATTTGTACATTCACCTCCTTGTCATTATCACACAGGGAGAGGTTCATCATCCTGGATCCCAGGTTGACATTAGTTCTTCCCTGATGAAAATCTTAATGCAGCTGGTTTTCCTCCAAACGTGTGCAAAACATATTATGTTCCTTTGATCAAAATTATGCAAAGAACCAGATGTTTGCTTTTCATTATCTTACAAATAACAGTTGGTATTTGAATGACCTTACCTGGTCTTTTACTGTCCTTGTCCTTCCAATTCCCTCGCGCCCCCCCCCGCCCGCGCGGTTCACACACACAACTGTGTTGTTTTTCTCAGATTATTTTCTTAGACTGAACTTGAACATACTAACACAGTGTTTTGGTTTTCTCTTGCTACAATAACAAATTGCCACACATCTCCAGGCTTAAAATAACATTCATTTATTATTTTGTAACTTCTCGTGGGTCAGAAGTGTGGGCACAGCAGGGCTCAAGGGTTTTCTCTGCTCCAGGTCTCACAAGGCAGAATCAAGAGCTGCCTTCTTTTCTGGAGGCTCTGGGGAAGAATCTACTTCCAAGCTTTTTCAGTTGTCAGAATTTCATTCCTTGCGGTTGTAGGATTGAAGTCCCTGTTTGCTCGCCTGCTGTCAGCCAGGAGCTGCCATCAACTCCTAGAGACCTCTCTTCGCCCCGGCAGGTGTCTCCCTATGCTCAGGGCGGGTAACAGCACTTTGATGCCCTTCTCACACTTGGAGCCTCTCTCTTGGATTCCCTCTCCTGCCTCCTATTTCACTGTATATCTTTGACTCCAACCAGAGACCGTTCTCTGCTTCGAAGGGCCCACCTGGATTATCCACATCCATAACCATAATTGCAGATGCAAAGCCCCTTTTATCATGCAAGGAAACACATTCCAGGGAGCAGGGCTTGGACACCTTTGGAGGCCATTCCGCCCATCACATATAGCTCATCAGATTCGTTCCTTATCACTTTCTCTACTCCAAAGGAACTCATACTTTTGATGGAAAAGGTACTGAATTTGGGGATTCCATTCTGTGGTGTCACAGCGATGTATTCAGTTTGAAGTAGAGATATTTCATCTGGCTTTTCAGAGTTTACTTAAATATCTTCCCAAGGCAAATTTTACTCTGTGCTCACCAATCAGCATTCCAAATAAAATTCAACCTCCCAGGTAACTAGATATCATGAAGGAACTCCTTAGGATAAGGAATGCAAAAAATTAAGTCAATAGAAGTTAAAGTAAATAAAAATACATAAAAAAATAATATATAAATGTCAATTTGAAATACATATTAAAATAGAATGATGGCATTCTGTTATCAACTGGAATTGGTAATATCAGTCAATAACCAAAAGAATAATCATGTGTAAAAAAAAAAAAAGAATGATCATGTCTAGGAGGACTTAAAACTTCTAGTCTCCTCACTCTGATAGAGTGACTTAACTGAGGCGATCCCGTGAGAGATTGTGTCACCAGGGCCAGATAACAGCCTCATCATCTCTCTCTTCACAAAATCACACCTCTGAAGAGAGATATAGGAAGATAATTTTCACACAGATGCTGACTGATAGAAGCATAGAAGCTTCTTCAAGAGTGTCTATCAAGACAGAAAATTCAGTAGCCCAGGACCTTGTGAGAAGACACTGGCTATTACTAGGTAGGGGTGGAGAGAGGGGTAATGGAAGTCCCTACCTGGGAGGAATGAGCCATTCTGGAAGAGGTGCTACTTTTCTAGCCTTCCTCTCTCAGTATCTTGACTGTAATTGTTAAGGAGGCCCACTTGGCATCTCAAGCAATTCCTGGGGATGTTCTTTATCAATGGGTTTTCACATATAACTAAAGAATTCCACCCTGCAGAATGGAAACCAAACCCACATGCATCATACACGCATATACATTATATGCATAAACATACTTATGTGTGTGTGTATATAGATGCATATATATTTAAATAGGATATAGGAGTCTATGTGGGATTGTTGTTAATTTACAATCCTTCAGATCTCTGTTGCATCTCTGTGGGGCCAATGGGTCTGCATCAGAATCTTAAACCCCACCCCTTTTGTGTCCATATTATTTTGGTTTTCAAGCAGCCATACTTTATATTATCATTTGACAGTATAGTCTAGGTTCCTTGGCTGGTCTAAATAATTAAGTCAATATAAGACAAGTTAACAACAACAACAACAACCAAAAGAACCTAAATGTAATTCTGTACAAACAAAACCCTCCAAAGATATGAGACTCAGTGGCAGTCAGAGAATTGAGGCTTATGTGCCATCCTGAGCTAAGGAATGTGATAGGGGTCTGGGGCTTCCAAGTGTGTATGGAGGGGGGCAACTCACAGGAAGATAACAAGAGCCCATGTTCAGTAATCAGATGTTTTCCCTGCCATGCAGGTAGGTCTTTCAAGAAAAAATGCTATCTCTGGTAATAGCTCTCTTTCTGAGCCCGGACGCCTATCTAAATTCTTTAAGGCCAAGTAGTATTCCATCGTATATATATATATATACACCGTATCTTCTTTATACTCAACAATGAAAAAGAATGAAATCTTGCCACTTGCCACAACACGGATGAAACTAGAGGGTATTATGCGAAGCGAGAGGAGTCAGAGAAAGACAGATATCACATGATCTCACTCATAAGCGGAATTTGGGAAACACAGCAGACGAACATAGGGGAAAGGAAGGCAAAATAAGATAAAACCAGAGAGGGAGGCAAACCATAAGAGGCTCTTGAATACAGAGAACAAACTGAGGGTTGGTGGGGCTGTGGGGGGCGGGGGGAGTGGGGGGGATGGGTTCAATGGATGATGGGCATCGAGGAGGGCACTTTTCAGAATGAGCACTAGGTGTGATATGTAAGCGATGAATCACTGGGTTCTACTCCTGAAGCCAAGACCATACTGTATGTTAACGAACTTGAATAAAAATAAACATAAACATTAATTAATTAATTAATTAATTAAGGCTGGTAAGGGATAGGTAGAAGTTTTTCCTGAGTCTACTGGCTCTCGACTGCCTTCAGTTCAAAGTAATCCACATGCTAAAGGGGTCCATTCTGGGGCGCCTGGGTGGCTCGGTCGGTTAAGCGTCCGACTTCGGCTCAGGTCATGATCTCACGTCCGTGAGTTCGAGCCCCGCGTCGGGCTCTGTGCTGACAGCTCAGAGCCTGGAGCCTGTTTCAGATTCTGTGTCTCCCTCTCTCTCTCTCTCTCTGCCCCTCCCCTGATCATGCTCTGTCTCTCTCTGTCTCAAAAAATAAACGTTAAAAGAAAAAAATTAAAGGGGTCCATTCTGAGGTGGTATACTCCACTCCCTTTCAATACCAAATACTACTTTTCCTTATTAATCACAACTAAACCTACAGAACGAGGGTTCCCCATCCACTGCTTTTCACCTCATATCAGAATTCTTACAACAGTACTGCTTTTTTTTCAAGTTTATTTATTTTCAGAGAGAGAGAGCCAGAGAGCACGCGTGAGCAGGGGAGGGGCAGAGAGAGAGGGAGAGACAGAGTCCCAAGCAGGCTCCGTGCTCGGCATGGACTCAGACACAGGGCTCGATCTCACTACCCCTGAGACCATGACCCGAGCCAAAATCTAGAGTCCAATACTCAACCGACTGAGCCTCCCCGGCGCCCCACAGAAGTGCTACTTTTATTCCTATAGTACTCTCTTCAGTATTTTTGATTTTTTTTTTTTACTTTCTCGGTGCATGTTTGTTTCTTGTTATTTAGTATTGTATTACTTTGACCACTCGGCAAGAATTTGTGTACTCTCTGTAGACCCTTAAATCACCAGTTTAGGAAGAGGACCAGCAGGTCAAAGAGGAAAGAAGAGACACTCGCCAAACTCCAAATGCAGTCAGACACCATGAATATATCACAAAACAGGTCGACTTTCACAAAGCTTGGTTTTCATTAGATTCCCCTCCAACTTTTTCATAATCTAGGCTTCCTGCCCTGTGTTAATTATATTTCTGACCCAAAACCAACAAACTAAGAGGCTGCATGTTGTGATGGAGAGTGTGCTGGACCAGGAGCCAAAAACTTTGAGGTTTTGGGCCAATTCTGGAGCTAACCAGCTGTGTGACCTTGAACAAGTCACTTCATCTCTCCGAACTGTTGTCCCCTCACTTCTTCAATGAACAGTCAATAAAACTATGTCTATGATTTCTTCCCAACGTTATGTCATTCTTTGATTCTGGTTCCCTTTATTCTTACTATTAATATACTGTGTAGAACAACATAGTTTACAATTCTTATACCCCATCCTAGGTCCTTATTACTTTTTTTTTTACCAAACATAAATTATTACTCATGAGCTATATAACACTAAAAATGAGCACTACTGTTTTTGCAATTGCAAAAACAATTTTGTTGAATTTATTCGAGGTATGATTCAGCAAATGAGGTATTTAACGTGCCACAGTGAAAGTAAACCTTGCTTTTAAACCCCAGCAAATAAAAATGGGATCTGAAAAGCTGGAACTAAGACTGGCTGGGGTCCATCATCTTTATGAGAATAGAGGGACTGAGAACACAGCATTTGCCTAAGAACTGGGCAGATAATCTGGAGCAAGAGGGCAGGGGGTGGTAAATTGGTGGGAAAATTAAAGATGCATTTTTCCCCAGCTGTTTGATTTTTCACGCTGTTGAGTTCTGAGGTTACGGTATGTAACTCGAATATGAAACATCACTGGGAGGAAGGGAACTCATTTAATATTATGTTAGTTGTAGAATTATAACTAGGTGTAAAGCAAAGAAAGTAGTTATCTATTATTCATTCCTTCTGAATAGACATTTCCTGTCTGTGAATACAAAGCATGACTAGAATTCACTTGCCGAAACTCAGGGATGCTGCGAGAGAACATTTCATTTTCATTTGATCTGACCTTGTGTATGATAATGGAGCTTCTTTAAAACACTGGCGCTTGTCTGTTCTCCTTCTATTGCACCCCTGAGAATTATTCCTACCCCTGGCCTCACAGGACAGAAAATTAACCTTAGAAGTTTTCGGTGACTTGCTCAAGTCATGGCAGTGCTGTCTCTTTAGGCAATCCTGAAGAGATCTGGCCACAAAAACCAGTCAAGTTACTTATCTGTGTAGCTATATGTGACAGCTTATATGACATGAAACATTTCTCTCACTGACATCTGAACCCACTAACTGGCATGTGAGATTGACCAGAAATCAACATACCTCATTGCTTAATCCAAGCATCTCTAAACCCGAGAAAGTGGCTTCTCTTTAGAGTGGTGGTAGGAAAGAGTCCCAGTGAGAGACGTCATACAGGACATAGGTGCATGGGACAGAAACATATCGGACATAGGTGGGCTGGCCACAGATCGATCAGACACACAGTGTCTCAGGCTCAACTGCTCAATCGACTGCTCTGTCTCCGCACCAAGGCCGCCTTGATCTGAATCAAAGCATAAAACCCCAAGCTGCAAAGAACCTCAGTGAACAGAGATAAGACTCCTGTAGGTTTCCTTCTTTTGTTTTTGTGTTCTCCAATTAAGTTATGCAATAAATCAACTTAAAAATTCAGTTTTGACCTAGAATCTAATCTACTCATTTGCTAAAAATTATTAAATCAGAACATAATCTCATTGAATTGATGTGTCATCCAGTTCAAGCCCTCCATAAGTTGATGGCTAGTTGGATGGCTACGTGGGTGGATAGATGGGTGGGTGGTGGAAAGATAGATGGATGGATGGATGAATGATAGATGGATATGAAATGGATGAATTCCCTTTCCTGGACTATAGTTACGGGCTCCAACTTCTAAAAATGCATAATGCGTATCTTCGTGTAGATACCCCCTTGCTAAAATCCTGCACTGATTAAAAAGTGAATCTAAATTTTCTCTGATGAGCTTTTTATCATGTTCACAAGAAGGAGAAGTCTGATATAAAGTAGTAAAACAAAAATAAACAAACCTATAATTTGGAGTAGCAGCTCTGGGGACAATAACAAGGTTTTCCAATCTCCCAGATCATAATTAACAGTGTAAAGAATTAAAGGGAAGTTCAAGAAGGAGTGCTTAAACCTTTTTGTAAATTTAAAAACAAGTAATGATCTCCATTGCTGTTCTCCAGGTTTATTCAAATTTGGACAATTAGGACAATTAAACATAAAACAGAGACAGTTCTAAAGAGGGAGCTGCAACAAAGCAGAATAATTGCTGGTACGGGCTATCAAATTTACATAAAAAAAGATTAAAAAGCTGATTTACATTTAAAAAACAAGATCAGGCAACATCTAAAATAGATAACACAACCCGCTGAGAAGAGTTCTTTTCATCAATAAAGGAGAAGCAAAGGTGATTATACATAACAAAACTAATCTTCTATATTGCTTTAATCACCTAGAACCACTTTAACTGTTTATTTGGGAACTGTTATGTGAAAAAAAAATATTGCATGTAAAAGTGTCTAATTTCCAGGTTGCATTAAAACATAGACACCATCAGGATTCTGTTTATCACCTGCTTTCTTCTCTAGATCCTGTCTTCTCTTGGTTATCAAAGTTTTCACCAATTGCAAACCTACCCATTCTAGAACTTGAAAATTTGCCATGTAATTGGCTTAACAGATGCTTCCAGAAGAGCAATTCTGTTTATTGTCACAGCATCCCATGAACAATGTAAATTGTAAAGCCTTTCCTTCCTGGACTGAGCATCTATGCGGCATTTTGAACTTTTTTTCAAAATAAAGAACATAATTACCTGAAGTTCAATGAGTGCCATAACCAGGTCCTTTGTTAATATTTACTCTGATGTGGGGTTTTCTTCCAAGAACAGTTATTTATTTGTTAGGTCAGTACCTTCATTATGTGAGCTTAAAGAATCAAAAACACTTAAACAGATCTCAATACTGGGAGCCCATTTGCCATTAATATGTATTGTTGTTCGTAAAGCTTCTTGTTAAATCACCCTAGAAGTTAAGAAGAAAATTACAATTATCCCAGGCATGATTTTAGGCTGATTAAAAAAAACAGACAGAAGCTAGAAATTGGGATAAATTCCCATTTCAGTCCATTTGTCAACAAGTAATGAAATACTGATGATATCAAGAGATTTTTAATGTACCAAATGATGGGGTTCAGGACATACTGCCCCAAAATACGGCACCTCAGCATGTTGAATATCTTAAGCTAAAGGAATCTGAGAAACACCGAGTGTAGGAAGGATTCACTAACTTCCCCCTTCTCCCCTAAAGCAGGTGATAAGACCCTAGGTTGGGGCGCCTGCGTGGCTCAGTCGGTTGAGCATCCAACTCTTGATTTCGGCTCAGGTTATGATCCCAGAGTCGTGGGACTGAGCCCCACATCAGGCTCCATGCTGAGCATGGAGCTTGCCTAAGATTCCACCCGCCCCCTCTCTCTCTCTCTTAAGTACAGAGAACAAACTAAGGGTGGCTGGAGGGGTGGGGGAAGGGAGGGACTAAATGGGTGATGGGCACTAAGGAGGCCATTTTTGGGGACGAGCACTGGGTAGTATATGTAAGTGATAAATCACTAAAGTCTACTCCTGAAATCATTATTACATCTTATGTTAACTAACTTGGATTTAAATAAAATTTTAAAATAAAAAAAAAAAAGATGCTCTTGCCCTCTGCCCCTCCCCCATCTGAAAAAAATGAACAAAAATTTAAAAAATGACGATTCTCAGTTGAGAGGCACCCTCCTTATCCCCGGAAGAAATGAACAACCTTGTCTTCCAAGACCAGGAATCTTAACAAACAGGCCTTGCTAAGTTTCCCTCCGTTTACTAACTTTAGCTCGTACCCCTTTGTCCTATCACATTTCCCCATAACTTTCAATTCTTTATCAAACCTATAGCATAAAAACACTGAGGGCCAGCCCTTTCTTTAGGTCTTCATCTCCTTATGAATGCTCCCGTGTCACATGAAACTTATAGTAAAATATTAAACAAATATTCGTCTCTCCGTTGTTATGGGGGCCCCAGCTGAAAACCCAGAAAGGTAGAAGGAAAAAGTGTTTTTCCTCCCTTCACAACAGACCACAGATCAAACGACATGAATGAAAATGAAATTGAAATTTAAGACAAAAAAGGGGAAAATAGATTTGACTTTAGTCTTGCAAGTTCTCTGAAAACTCTCAAATTTCCGTAGCTGGCCAGTGCCCGCTGGATGTTATCTACTATTGCGTGTGTTTGTGGATCAAATAGCAATAAAGGACTTCAAATATCTAGCCAAGGGGGGCATCACTCTTCTTCTTATCGAATGAATCCTATTCCCCACTCATTTCTATTATAAAGAGGACATGCGATCCACAGGAAACAAAGAAAGATTGTGGCCAAAAAAGATGTGGCAAGAAGCTGGTCAGCACTCTGTCCTCTCTTGAACGGTGGTCCCCAGTGTACTGAATTCCCCAGAAACAGAAAACATCAGGTACCTTTACCATGGAGAGGCATCAGTTAACCCCTCCCCTTATCAGGTCAGTAAATCTGTAACTTCCTACATCTGATTTATTTTAAAGTAATGCCTTTAAAGAGTATCACAAAAGCTAGAGGACAAAATAAGTTTAAAGACAAGCCAGTAAAGGGGGGGGCCCCCCCCCCCCGCACACACCCACACACACACACACACATAGAATGAAGCAGTAACATAACTCCTATAATGACAGGATTCCAAAACGTTAAACCTCTACTAATATTTGTGGTTGTACTAATGCATCTCTTTCCTTGGGAACAGGGATGAGAGAAACATGGGATTGAATCCAAGAGAGAGAATGAGCTAAAACTAGGTTAGACCTTCAGTTTTGCCACTAAGGTCCGCCAGGACTCGGGGTCGGAGACTTCACCTCAGCACATCTTAGCCTCCCCCCTTCAGCAGAATGACCTCGGTGGCTTTCCTGCCAAGCTCTATGAGAAAATGAAAAGATGAACTTAGAAACTGCAAGTCACTATAGACGCCTTGGATACAGGTCCTATAAATATTTATTACTGTTGTTACTTCACAGTAAAACATGCTGCAGCCCCAGACATAACCATTTCAACTACACATACAACAGGAAGAGAAGACAAAAGCTTGCTTTCACTAAGTACCCTATGAACAGGAATCAGTCAGCATTCACCCAGGGAATATTTGTAAACGTCCACGATATGCTCATATAGGAAATACATAAAAGATACAGCCTATACTTCAAGAAGTATGCAAGATAAAAGGGGAAACAGGGCAAAAACATACAGAATATTAAAACATGCAACAAGAAAAGGTGTAAACAAAAGAACAAACAGTAGGTGGCTCTCATAAGCATAACAATGAGTGAAGGAGGCCAGACACAAAGGAATACATACTGCATGATTCCATTCTATATGAAGTCCAAGAATGCCGCACCTAGTCTGTAATTAGAAGTCAGAAGAGTGCTTACCTCTTACTGGCGGGTAGATGATAATAGACTGAGAAGGAGCATGGGGCGCTGGAAACGTTCTAGATCTTGATCCAGGTGGCAGTTTCTGGGGAAAATACACATGTAAAAATTCAGCCACCTGCATGCTTGAGATGTATGTCTTTTATGTACGTTATACCACACAATTTTTTTAATTTTTTTTTTAAAAGAAGGGTACAGGTGCCTTCAATCTGAGTACAGCTCTGTGGAATTAGGCTTCATGAACGTCAGCGGGATACAGTAGTGCCCAGAGTGGCCAGAGAGACAGGGTCCCTCAGAGATTGATTTAGGCTTCTGTGTGATGAGGGGCTCGATTTGGCAAAAAGGAAGGGAGAGGGCACTTTCCAAAAAGGAAGAGCAAGGAGTTCCCAGATAGTCCAAGGCCATGTTGGCAAATCATCAAAAATACCAGGGACCTAGGACCACAACCAAAGTCTCATGGACGAAAGATCTGGCCAAATGCTCTCAGCAGAGCAAGTGGCAACCAGTGTCTCTGACTCAAGAATTTTGGTGACATAAGCTATCCAGAGACAGTTGAAGGTCAGGATGTTTAAAGTCTTCTCAACTCCCGGTGAGAGTCAGAGCTCAAACAACTGTTTGGTCCACTGACGTGTCATATGCGGTCATCAAAATGGCATCTATTTATCCCAAGAGCATCTGAGAAGCAGCGGCTGTCAAATCCACTGCGTGCACCACAGAGGAAGAGCACCTTTCTCTCTCCACCTCTCACACTTACCATTTCTCCAGCCCTAAGATCAGGAGAAGGGCCAGGCTTCCTGAAGCAGAGCCTGAGATGGGAATTCAAGGGGGTGCATGATTTACTGAGGATGTACTCAAAAGAGAAAACTGTCAGAAGGTGAAAGGGACAGAGTAGGGAAGAGCGAAAGAAGGGAGGCCCCGGCCGAGGTGCAGCCCTTTAGGCAAGGAGTTTTGCCTTCTGTGCCATCATGTCAATCATCTACCACAGGATGGCTGGAGAGGACAGTCGCCTCCTGTCCGGGCGGCTCCTGTTGGCCCCGGGCAATTCCTTGGAGAAAGGGAAGCTGGAGATAATGTGCCAGCCTTGTAGAAGGATGCAGGCTGGGCAGTGGCCACTACAGAAGCTACCAGAGCCCTCCGCTCATCCTTAAATTAGTTCACGTTGGTTGGGGCGCCTGGGTGGCTCAGTCAGTTGAGCATCCGACTTCAGCTCAGGTCACGATCTCACTGGTTCATGGGTCCGGGCCCCGCGTCGGGCTCTGTGCGGACAGCTCAGACTCGAACCTGTTTCAGACTCTGTGTCTCCCTCTCTCTCTGCCCCTCCCTTGTTTGCACTCTGTATGTGTGTGTGTGTGTGTGTGTGTGTGTGTGTGTGTCTCAAAAATAAACATTTAAAAAAATAAAAATCTTTTAAAAAAAATTAGTTCATGTCGGCAACCAGACCAGCCATTACACTGTCCTCGTGATTTGCACAGTCAACTTCTCAAAAAACTTGTGTGTTTGCCCTACAAAAGAAATTTCATCTCCATAGCAGAGACGCAGATTGGTTTTGGTGACACTTCACATCTCCTGTGTTAACAGCAATAGTAAACCAAAATGACAATCATTAGCAGTAGGCTGTGGTAACAGGCTCGTTTGCCTTCAGAAATGAATTCCCTTCACATCCCGGGAAATTTGGGAATAAGAAACAGAATGAAAGTTCGGGAGGGGGACAGAAAGTGTCTTCTCCCAAGCTATAAATCATAGAAATTGAATTAGATCATCTCAAATTGAGGGACAAAAAGCCAGTTATAGATCCATTTCACGACACTGGCTGACACGGATTCCATTTGTGACTCACTGAGGAGCATTACTTATTCTGAGTGCTCCTTATTGTCAGAATAAGACAATGCAAGCACTTAACATGAAGACATGTGTAACGTTACTGGAGGACAGAGGGAAGAGGGAGATCCCACGGTTTGCCTAGAAAGCAAACAGCGTCAGGCGTATGCATTTCTGAAGACTGCTCTCAGCATCTCTGAGAAATTCTGCTTTTTGCATAGCTCAAAATTTATAAGATCCTATTCTCTTTCCAGACACAATCAGCACAATCAAATCACTTTAATCGCAACCTTAGGGCTTGACTGGACCAAAACCAGAAACTAACTATGTGTATCAGTCAGCGATCCAGCTAGGGTAACTTAAGGAAGAGTTAGTTAATGAAGAGTTTATTTGTGAGTGTGGGTAGGGTTAAGAGAAACCCACAAGGACGGTGAAGCACCTTGGGGTTAGCATTTCAGAACCGTCACCTGCCCTAGGTGAGAGGGGGAGGGAGCCGCCCAGCGGGGCTGGGACCTGAGAGTTGTGGCCTCGGGGAGAAGGCTGCACCTTCTGGGAAAGCGAGCTGGGCAGATGAACACCCCACTCTCTTCTCCTGCCTGCCTGTCAATGCCACCCTCGTCTGAATCCATCCAGAATCTGGGGAACTCGGGTCTGCCCAATGCAGTCCACACAGGATACAGAGCAGGTTGGAAAAAAGGAGAGGGCGGATCTGGGGCAGCAAGCGGATAATATCCGACTATCCTGAGCATGGAGTTGATATCTTTTACAAAATGTTGGAAGTTACAGTTTTAAGCGGGGGGTGAAAAAAAGTAGTTCCCTTCAATGTATTCCTTCTGGGAAGTGCTTCACGAATTATCGATAATAACAACTGCCATAGGCCAGGCACTGTACCAGATGCTTTACTGGTAGTTATTTTATGTTATTTAACGCTCATCATAAGTCTGTGTGATGGATAAAATTAGCTTCATTTTGCAAATGATCAACTTGAGGCATATAGGGGGCCAAGTACCTGGCTTCACAGGGAGGAAGCACAGGAATCCAGGCAAGACCCGGGACACTCTGACGTCAAAGCCCGCGTGCAGTCTGTTCCATTTCCCTATAGCAAAGATGCTGCCGGTGCTGAAAACACTTTAGAAGTCCTCCCCTGGGTTGCTTCTAGAGTGTTTTTAAAGGCCTTACCCGCGACCCCAAAATCAGTCGCATTACTTTATAGCCACACATTCTTAACAACAAAAGAAGATGGTGATGATTCATCCTCGCCACGTTCACCAGATGTAAGGCCAGATGATGCTTGACTATTTCTAAAAGTCAAATTAGATTCACCCTCAAAGGACTGAGGATATTAAAAGGAAGCTTTGAAACATAACTCCAAGAAAGAAGTCTCAAAAAACAACATCTGTAAGGCTGGACATCCCAATTCAGAAAGGGAGTGACTTTAAAACCCATATCGGTTTTCCCACAGAAGACTCCAAGACCCCCAAAAGGGGTCCATCGTTATTTAGGGGAGCAAGAAAATTGGAAACAACCTAAATCTCCCAAAATAGTAATTAAATGTGTTTGCGCACCACCTGTGTCTACACCGCTTCCCACCTCCTCCCCCACCCCCCCTTCATCAGATGGAAACCAACAAGGGGCAGGGACTGGCTACCTTGTTCAACTGCTCTAACCAGCTCTGTGTACCAAGCCGGGCACATGGTAGACCCTCAGTAGATATCTACTGAATGAATGAATGAATGAATGAATGAATGAATGAATGAATGAAATTCCTCTTCCTTCCTAGAGCACAACCTTTGCGTAAATATCCCATACCTTGGTGTCATTCTGCATGAAGAAGAACCAGTTATGATGAACACAAAGTGTTTTGTTCCGTTACATATGAGACCAGCAAATCATCTACGGACTCATCTATGGGAAAGTAAGAAATAAATAACCCCCTCCTCGTCTCATCCTCTACGCTACACTCCCACACCAGCTTCCCTCTCTCCCTCACACCCTCAAGTGTCAAAACAATCACCAGTTCTGTTTGGCAGGCACCAAGCATCCTTTTCTTGCGAGGCCATCCAAAAAACTAATGAGTATTATTCCATCTCTTCCACAGCCATATAATCGGCTAATACTAAAAGCGCTAAGAGAGATGGTGTTTTGCTGGTTCACATCTAAAATTTAGACAATCAACCATGAATGCCTCAGGCTGATCACATGCTGGGAGAAGCAATAATAGAACGTCTGGCCAGATTTCCCTGCCAACTGGAAGGCCCAGGTTGGGGAGCAGATGTGCTGGAGAGGTGATACATTTGGTTTTCAGTGGGGAGGGTCTGTGGGTCTCATCTGTCTTCCGCACCCCTACTGGTCAGCTCAGAGCTCAGCGCTAGTGACAGCTGCTTAAGGACCTGCCCTTGTGTGTGCTCTCCGGTCGCGGGGGAGGGAGGTGGCCCACGGAGGACACGGCCCCACAGTGTTCTGTGACCCGCTGGCACTGCAAGGTTTTGCTCACGGGCTCCTTTTTGGTGTAGAGTCACCCCTTCCTTTCCCCACAGCCAGAGTTTGGTGGCATTCTCTTAGGTGATCTCGCCCCCCGCCCGCCCCCCACCCCGCCACGCTAAGGAAGTCTAGCTCCTGCGTGTGGAAGCAGCCTGCAGATTCCGTGTCAGCTGGAAGCCACGGATGACCAACTGCAGAATCAATAGGCCTCTGTCACTGTCACGTGAGGGAGACCCCGAGCTTATCAGCAGCATCATAATAAGTACCTATTTGCCTGACATCTCTTCAATCAATAACTTTGTTATTGTTTGCATTATCTGACTATAAGTTTGGTCAATATACCCAGCTAATGGGTAACACGAGCCAGGATTGCATTTCAATTTTTTTTTCCCCCTTAAGTTTAACTCTCTGTGTGCCAGGTAGGAGTCGCTAAGGGAACCTCTCCAGCTTTACTTTGCCTTTTAGGAGTTTTATAGAACCTCTGCAAGATATGAGCTGTCTTGAGACAAGGAAATCAATGTTGCTCACGTCTAACCCAAATTAAATAAACCCTGCCTTTCTTTGCTATTATTTTTATTAGGTTTTCACAACGATGGGCAGATGGGTGTGTGTGTGTGTGTGTGTGTGTGTGTGTGTGTGTGTATTTACTTAATGCATTGGAGAGAAGAGAATACACTTGCTAGCAGGTGGATCAAAATGCACAAAGCAAATGGTATCAGCTGGGTGGAAAGGGTGTATGGGTCTAAAGAGGTTTTGAACCCCTCCCCATGATCAGCCCAAGATATA